CCCCGTTGTGCCAAGTTCAAGACCAGGAGCTGGAGACAAAGTGCTGGCCAAACTTCTTCTCCAAAGGAAAACAGGGACCAGTGGAGAGGGGTTGTTAGGGGGGATTCCTGGAGGAGGCAGCCAGGACCAACAAGAGAAGAGGCACCCTGCCAGAAGTAGTGGCTAAGCAGGACAGTGCACTCCAGGAAAAGTTGGAAAATGAGAGGCAGCCTCTTGTGGAGGCTGGAGAACAGACAGACATGTGGGACAATGACTGGGAACACAGCCTATGCATATTGTCACAACTGCTGTTCCTTGTAGGGCTGGGGAGAATCATCAGAAGAAACAGGAATGCCCCCATCTTGACTGGTATAGGACCTAGACGTCTCACTTCACTGGAATGGTTTGGCACTGCCAGGAGGGAGAACCTGGCCTCCAGCAGAACCCAGCTACCAGATAAGTCCCTGATTGTTAAGAGAAGCCTTTTTCTTTGAGAGAAACCTTCCGCCAGCCTGGTTCTAGAGCCGCATCAGTCCCAAATAAGCACACAGGAGGCTATATTAATTATGAAGCTGTTGGCCTTGCTTGTTTCTTACTGGCTAGCTCCGACTTAAGTAGTTACCTCATAATTGTTAATCTAAGTATGTCTCTTACCGGAGAAGTTTCTGGGCTTCCTACCCCATGGCGTTACATCTGACTCCCTTGTGTTTCTCCTTCCCAGAGTTCTCCTGGACTCCTAGTCCCACCTATCTAGATTCCTATTGGCCAGCAGTGCTTTATTGACAAATGCACACGACTTCCCCCAAACATCTCCTCTTTTCTGTTTAAACAAAAAGAAAGGTCTTAACTTTAACATAGTCAAATTGTATATAACAGAACAGTTATCAAATAAGAACATAGTTACAATATTTTAGCAAGATTTAAAGAAAATATCATCCATCCCATCCTTGTGAGTCCAAAGTTCTATATGTAACTTATCTATTATCATAACTAAGGAAAACTATAATTATAACTATCTGTCTTCAACTCCATCAAAGACCACAGAAGGATAATATATAAACACTAGAAATGACAGAGACATCTTGCTACCTGGACAGTCACCCAAAGTTCCTCTGTAACGTTGGGGCATCCATCTTCAGCCCATAGGCCACAATGTGTCCAGAAGATTTCTCAGCAAAGCAGGAAATTTCAAGCTGTCCATCTGCATTGGCAGTCTGTCAGTCATTTCTCTGTGTCCTGCAGAAAGCCTCGTAGACTCTTCCATGAAGCAAGAACCCTGTAAGACTGAGTTCAGCAGTCACTTTTCTGTGGGTCCTACATGTCCAGTTTATACAGCAACAGTCAAACAGTCCAGGCAAAAGCAGTTTCTTGCCCAAATGGCTAATCTTGCCATGTTGAAAGCAAACTCCATAACAAGTTTCTTCAATGCTCATCTTCCTCTCAGACGTACTTGGTGCTGCCAGGAGCAGACATTTCTCATTGTCAAGAAAAACCCTAAACCATTTTAAATGCCATTTTCTGAAGGTCTTTGAGAGGTTTGAAGACTGCTTATCTATCTCAAATATATTTCTATATATCTAGAAAACCTAACTTACCTAACTATAAATTCTATTATAAGTAACTATCTATAGTCTGTATTCAACTATGCATTACATTTTAAAAGATCAGTATAAGCACAATACTTAATCAAGAGGAGAAATATACACATCACAAAATTGACCTTGGATTTGTATCAATAAATGAAAAGCAATACCCATACCATAATTCCCCTTTTTACAATTAAAAAGAGATTGGCTGTGATCATTAGCCAATTATAAACAATCCCATTTAAATGAAAACAAAGATTTATAAACAAGATGGGAATTAGGACGTCGCTCATTCCAAAGTGCTTCCTGCTGGAAGGGGGCACTGTTTATACCATGGGGATCATTACAAAACTCAGAAACCTGTATAAATCCTTATTTTCGTGGTCTGTAAAGCTCCATCATCTTAGCTGTTTCAGTTGTTGGAACACCTGGACTACTGCTTCCGGGGGTCTTGGTTCATCAAACCACAGAAGCATGGAAGGAATCCTCAGATTTTCATTTTCTGTAGAAACATAAATAAAAACTCCTTTTCGAAGTAACATATCCTTATACTTAAATTTTGAAGTCAAGGAATTTTTAAAAGATAGAAGTTAAATTAATTCAGCAGCATTTATAATCAAGTGTACTTTAGCAGCTGTTCCTTCCTGATCAATCAAAAAACTGAAAAACACAATAGCGTACAGTATCCAGACTCTCTGTGTATTTTCCATCTTTACTTGGCTTATTTATTTATCTATTATTACTTCATTTCTTTTAATTTTATTTATTTTTCTCTGAGAGAGGGTTTCTCTTTGGAAATCTTCCTGCCTCTGCCTCTGCAGCAAATTCTACCAAATTCTGTCTCTCAAGATCAGGGTAACATTGGTTTAAAAAGAATTTGGATGAGGTCCTTGTTTTTCTATTTTAAGGAATAGTCTGCTTGCTTAGAGACATCTGCAGAAGTCCGCATGCGTTAAGAAAACTTATTTCCCACATGGATGCCAGGCTTCATGATGGAATAAAAAATAATAGAGAATCCCAGGTATACTAAGAATAAGAGAAAATGTGTTACATGGTAGCTGAACTGAGCTTACAGGGTACCAATGAGTGGAGAAGCATCAGGTGGCTCCACATAGTTCCAAGGCATCTTTCTCCTACAAGATTTAGGCTCAGAATCATCTTTCCATTTTAAAGATAAGGAAACTGGCCCACCCCACTGTGCCGCAATGTTTCTGTTGTGGGTTAGATCTGGCCTGCATTCTGAACAGTGGTATTGTGGTGGTTTAAATCAGAAAATGTCACATTACATATGTCAGGCAGAGACTTACCTCAGTCCAGAGTCACAAAATCACTCTAAATCTCACACTTAAGATGAGGAGCTCATTTCTACAGACAACACGATGAATAGGATTACAACAGGAAGTTGTTTGGCAGGTTCTGGTGGTGTTTTCAAGAGCTACTCTGCCAAATCTGACCAAAACAGTGTAGGACATTGCTCTCAAAGTTCCAATCATAGTCCAATACTTTATTAAATATGAGGAATGATTTATTCCCAGAGAATATAACAGGATACCTTTCTATACTTGGCCATTTTAAAGACAGGGATTACAGAGAAATGCATTCCCTCATCTAAAATCCCATCACATAACTTCTGGGCTTTAGCTCAGCTTAATATTGCAAAACTGGCCCCAGTGTCCTCACTGCATTGAATCACACAGGAGTTCACTACGCAGGATTCATTACATGGATATGCATAACAGCTCATCAGAGACCATAACTCTCTGCTTTAGTATACACTTCCCTAACCTCAACAACCACTTTCTCTATCTGGCCTATTCATGCTGCAAGTTATAAATTTTCACCTTTTCACTGGAATTGAGCAATAATGCCCCTAGTATATGTTCTTTTATATTATATCTTTACAGATATGAGGCAAAGACGAATTAATCTAGGACCACAACAAATCAAAATGAGAATTACCTTAATCGAATTTTCAAAATTGCTCATTATTTGAAGTTTAAGAGAGTTTTTATAGCTTGTATGTCTGTGCACCGTGTGCAAGTGGTATCCGCAGAAGTCATAACAAGGCGATGGTCTCTGTACCTATGCTTACAGGTGGTTTTAGCTGTTATGTTTGTGATGGGATTCACACAGGGGTGTTGGAAAGAACAGCCAATGCTCTTAATGCTGAGTCACATCTCCAGCCACCTGGACTAATTTGCATTACAGATGTGGGCAGTTTTTATAAGAATACAGAAAATGCGATGATGAAGATGATGATGATGCCAGAGTAGTTATCGCTGGAATGAAAGGAACCAACATGTTTAATGTACAAATGCTAGACCTCCCCCATTGTTACCTTGCTGTGTTCAGGGCTCACAGGAGCAGTCTTGGGTGCCACCTTGGTTCCCCTCACTCTACTCTATCATTTATTCTCTATATCTTAAATTTTTAAATTGTGGATGCTTCTGGCAACTCCACAGCAGATCGTCATTGGCGGCCTGCTGTACAGCAAAAACCTCTAGTTAAATGGAAAGACCTGATCTCAGGTCTTTGGAGAGGACCAGATCCAGTTTTGGTTTGGGCCCGGGGGTCTGCTGTGTTTCCCACAAGATGGTGAGTCCCCAATTTGGGTTCCAGAGCATTGTGTGCTCTGTTCCTGCTGATACTCATCAGCTGCCTATAGACTTATTAGGCTTTAATGAGGAACCTGCCTGTCCTGATGCTGGCAGGTCTTCAGTGTCAGATAATCAGCCTCAACCATAGCCTAGGAAAGGCAGCCCTCAGGATGATTTTGCCTGCTTGGACATTTGCTATATTCCATATCACTCCCTCGGGAGAAATGTTTAATTATCTCCTCCAGGTATGCCGCTTGAGAAGCTATTGATCAGCCTTGGTGCTCCGTTTCCCAGTTTTCATACCTATTCTAGGGAAAAGGGACCAGTCAAAGAAACACACCCTAAAACCAGTGCCAAAGGAACACACTTTGTCCCTGGAATCAGAATCAGTGAAAGAAATGTACCCTGGCCCTAAAATTGGAGCCAAAAGGCTAAAAAGGACCAGAGAAAGAAACACACTTTGGCCCTGAAACCAGAGCCAAATCTGACCCTAATCCTGTTTAAGAAAGTAACCAATCCTGGAGCAGAGCTCTAGCCAATCTGAGCTCAGCACTGAAATCGGACCAATCCCTACTCTGGAAAAACTTCCCCAACCCCAGGAATCCCTATATAAACCCTGTGTATGTTCAGCTTGGCTGGTCCAGCTGCCTTCCAATAAACACCTTTGGATGAGCTCCAGGATACCTTTCTACCTGAGCTGTGTAACACTCAGTATTCTGTGACTCCAGAGTGCCAGAATACCTGACCCACTCATGTTCCATCCTGTCCCGACCCATCCGGAAACACTTACATTTGGTGCCGAAACCCGGGATAGGCTCTCCTGGTGCCTGTGCTCCCTTTCATGGTCTGAGCCGCACTGGGACCCTATCTCTCATCTCCAGTTGGCCTGCAGCAGACTCGCCTTCCAGCTCACCAATCGCTTGACACTCTATCCACCATCAACGATTGGGTAAGTCTCCCCTTCATTTGGTGATTCAGCTCCCTAAGTCAGGATACTTGTAGAGGCGGAGGTAGCCCAGGCAAGGCCCTTAAGGCTATAGCTGACCCTCCTCACCTTACCCCATCCCACCACCCTTGAAATTGCAATCCTGCAGTTTCCTTAGGCCCTACAGGGTCATTGCGTCCCTTCCTGAACCTTTCCTGTGGATGAGACCCTCTTAGAGCTCGGTTTCAATCTACGCCTTCTGGCCTCTAGAAAAGCCCTGGTACCAGGCGCCGAGTCTCTTCTGGCTTAGCTGGGCTAAGCCTGCCCCCCGTTGAGTTGGGGGAAGACCCTCTGAACGGCTTGGTCCTCTTTCAGTGGTCCTCCCTGAGTCCTGGGGACGCCCTTGACTACAGTCTGCAGTGACCTTTTCCTTCTCATCCATGGGAACTGTGTCCTCTGTAGCCTCCCATTCCCCCTTGGGATGCCTCCTAGAAAACCTCAAGTCTCTACACCTGACACCTGAACTAAAGGGACCTAAACTTATTCGCTTTTGCCATAAAATTTGGCCTAAATACCATTTAGATAATCAGTCCAAATGGCCACGTAATGGCACCCTGGATCCCAATATTATTCGGGACCTTTACAACTACTGTAAGCGATTGGAAAAATGGAAGGAGATTTTCTATGTCCAGGCTTTCTCTCTGCTACGCTCCAAGCCTTCTCTCTGTGCCTCATGCTCTCCCACTCAACTCCTTTTGGCTAGGAAGTCTGAACAAGATGATCCCTCCACTGCTTTTGACCCAGCCAATGAGCCTTCTCCCCGTCGAACAAAACCCTCAGCTCCCCCTCTTGCACTGGCCCCTCCGATTTCCCTTCCTCCCTCTTCAGTGACAAGTCACCCTAGTCAGCATTCACTGGCACCCTCCTTCAGCTCACCACCAACAGTCCCTAGTCCTCCCACTACTCGGTCCCGCTGCACTAAGGGACCACCCCCTTTACCTCCCCAACCTAAACCAGCTCCAGTTCTCCCCTTGCGAGAGGTTGCCGGGGTGGATGGCTTAGTCAAAGTTCATGTCCCCTTCTCATTGACTAAACTCTCCCAAATAGACAAAAGATTGGGATCCTATAGTGCCAACCCTTCCACCTTTATTAAAGAATTCCAGTATATTACCCAGTCCTATAACCTTACCTTCCATGATGTTTATAGGATTCTTACCAACAATCTCCTCCCTGAGGAACGCAGGCGAGTTTGGGAACAGGCTAGAATCTATGCAGATGACATCCATCAAACTGATGATACCTACCCAGTTGGATCTATGGCAGTTCCTGACCAGGAGCCTGACTGGGATTACAATACCCCAGAGATCCACCTGCCTCTGCCTCCTGAGTGCTGGGAATAAAGGCCTCTGCCCCCACTGCCTGGCCCCTTCTCTTCATATGCTTTATTTGCCAATGTTTAGATCAGTATGCCCTTCGGTCCCTCAGTCGTGAACTCATCTTGAACATGAACAGGACTTCCTTTATGTTCTGTTGGACTTGCTGACAGTTTCAAGTGATTTCAATTAGGATAGTCATATTTAGGTATATAAACTGTTGGCTTAAAGTCTCTGCTTATTTTACATTTAGGGTTATTTTGTTCTATTTATTTATTTTGCTGTGTGTTATTTTTTTCTTTTTTTATTATCATTTTTTATTTTAATTTTAAATAGCTTGTTTTACATGTCAATCCCAGTTCCCTCTCCCTCCCCTCCTCCCACACTCCCCTACCCCCCACCCTCCCACCCTATTGCCAAATCCTTCCACATAGGGGATATCTAGAGTCTGTCATTTCACTCTGGGTAGGGTCCAGGCACTCCCCTAAGAGTCCAGGCTGAGAGCGCATCCCTCTTTGTGCTATAGGCACATGATGACTGTTTGTATTCCAGGGATAGACACTGATCCACAGCTCAGGGCCCCATAGGTTGCCCAGGCCTTCTCACTGACACTCACATTTGGGGGGTTCAGATCAGTCCCATGCTGGCCTCCCCACTGTCGGTCTGGGGTCCAAGAGCTCCCCCTGTTTAGATCAGCTGTCTCTGCTGGTTTTGCAAGCCCATTCTTTGCCAATTTGCTCATCACTCCTCTCTCTCTGTCACTGGGTTCCTTGGGTTCAGTTCAGTGATTAATTGTGTGTTTGCCTCTGCTTCCATCAGTCACAGGATGAAGGCTCCCGGATGGTTATAGACCTCAAGTTCATTATCAGGAATGGGCATTTGAGGTGGTCTCTCCACTATTGCTTAGCTTACCAGTTGGTGTTATCCCTTTAGGTCACTCAAGGTCACTCTGGTGCCTGATCTGTCTTCTATCCTATGATTCCCTCTTTCCCCTATTCTACCCCCACCCACTCAACTTCCTGTTCCCCCATGACCAACTCTCTTCCTCTTCACCCCCTCTCTTCTTCCCAGCTCCCACTCCCCCCCACCCCTCGCCGTGTTCCCCATCCATTCAGAGGATCTTGTCTCAATCCTCTTCTCTTGGGTACTATGCATATATGCATATCTTTTAGGTTCTTTCCTGTTTCCCAGACTATCAGTGGAAGTACAGACTAGCACTATCCTGATCCATGTCTAACATCCATATATGTGTGAGTACATACCATGTTTGTCTTTTTGCGACTGGGTTACCTCACTCAGGATGGTTTCTTCCAGTGCTATGCATTTACCTGTGAATTTCAAGATTCCATTGTTTTTTCCTGCTGAGTAATACTCCATTGTGTAAATGTACCACATTTTCTCTATCCACTCTTCAGTTGAGGGGCATCTAGGTTGCTTCCAGGTTCTGGCTATTACAAATAATGCTGCTATGAACATAGTGGAGCAGATGCCCTTGTTGTAGGAATTTGCCTCTTTTGGATATATGCCTAAGAGTGGAATTGCTGGGTCTAGTGGTAGATTAATTCCCATTTTCCTGAGGAATCTCCATACTGATTTCCAGAGAGGCTGTATGAGTCGGCACTCCCACCAGCAGTGGAGGAGTGTTCCCCTCTCTCCACATCCTCTCCAGCATAAATTGTCATTGGTGTTTTTGATTTTAGCTATTCTGACAGGAGTAAGATGGTATCTCAGAGTTGTTTTGATTTGCATTTCCCTGATGGCTAAGGATTTTGAGCACTTTCTTAAGTGTCTCTTGGCCATTTTAGCCTCCTCTATTGAGAATTCTCTATTTAGTTCTGTACCCCACCTTTTAATTGGATCCTTTGGTGTTTTGGAGACTTGTTTCTTGAGTTCTTTGTAAATTTTGGAGATTAGCCCTCTGTCAGATGTAGGGTTAGTGAATATCTTTTCCCATTCTGTGGCCTGCCTTTTTGTCTTTTTGACTGTGACCTTTGCCTTACAGAAGCTTTTTAGTTTCAGAAGGTCCCATTTGTTAATTGTCGATCTCAGTGCCTGTGCCACTGGTGTTATGTTTAGGAAGTGGTCTCCTGTACCAACTCCTTGAAGAGTATCTCCTACTTTCTCTCCTAAAAGTTTCAGTGTGGCTGGATTTATGTTGAGATCTTTGATCCATTTGGACTTAAGTTTTGTACAAGGTGATAAACATGGATCTATGTGCAGTCTTCTGCATACCAGTACCCAGTTATGCCAGCACCATTTGTTGAAGATGCTTTCTTTTTTCCATTGTACAGTTTTAGCTTCTTTGTCAAAAATCAAGTGTTCATAGGTGTGTGGGTTAAAATTAGGGCTTTCGATTCGGTTCCATTGGTCTACCTGCCTATTTTTGTGCCAATACCAAGCTGTTTTCAGGACTATAGGTCTATAATAGAGCTTGAAGTCAGGTATGGTGATGCCTCCTGAAGTTCCTTTATTGTATAGGGTTGTTTTGGCTATCCTGGGCCTTTTGTTTTTCCATATAAAGTTGATTAATGTTCTTTCCAGGTCCTTGAAGAATTGTGATGGAATTTTGATAGGGATTGCATTGAATCTGTAGACTGCTTTTGGCAAGATTGCCATTTTTATTATGTTGATCCTACCAATCCAAGAGCATGGGAGATCTTTCCATTTTCTGGTATCTTCTTTGATTTCTTTCTTTAAGGACACAAAGTTCTTGATATACAGGTCTTTCACTTCCTTGGTTAACATTATCCCCAGATATTTGATGCTGTTTTTGGCTATATTGTAAAGGGTGATGTTTCTCTGATTTCTTTCTCAGTCACTTCATCATCTGTATATAATAGGGCCACTGATTTTTTTTGAGTTTACCTTGTATCCTGCCACATTGCTGAAGGTGTTTATCAGCTCTAGGAGTAACCTTGCAGAGTTTTTTGGGTCACTTATGTAAACTATCATATCATCTGCAAATAGTGAAAGTTTGACTTCTTCTTTTCCTATTTGTATCCCGTTTATCTCCTTTTGTTGTCTTATTGCTGTAGCTAGAACTTCAAGTACAATATTGAAGAGATATGGAGAGAGTGGACAGCCTTGTCTTGTTCCTGATTTTAGAGGAATTGCTTTGAGTTTCTCTCCATTTAGTTTGATGTTAGCTGTTGGTTTACTGTATATTGCTTTTATTATATTCAGGTACGTTCCTGTTATCCCTGATCTCTCTAGGACCTTTATCATGAAGGGGTGCTGGATTTTGTCAAAGGCTTTTTCAGCATCTAGTGAGATGATCATGTGGTTTTTCTTTCACAGATTGTTAATATGGTGGATTACATTGATAGATTTTCTAATGTTGAACCATCCCTGCATTCCTGGGATGAAGCCTACTTGATCATGGTGGATGATTTTTCTGATGTGTTCTTGAATCCGGTTTGCGAGTATTTTATTGAGTATTTTTGCATCGATGTTCATGAGGGAAATTGGTCTATAGTTCTCTTTCTTAGTTGTGTCTTTGTGTGGCTTGGGTATCAAGGTAATTGTAGCCTCGTAGAAAGAGTTTGGCAGTGAGCCTCCTGCTTCTATTTTGTGGAATACTTTGAGGAGTATTGGAATGAGCTCTTCTTTGAATTTCTGGTAGAATTCTGCACTGAAGCCATCTGGGCCTGG